ATGATGAATGATGATGAACTAGACCGCTGTGCTTCTCCACCTAGTCTAACAGCAGGTACAAGATAAGCTCCCCGGGGAAAAAGGATTGGAAAATACTGTGCAGTATACATCTGCGTTGGAGATCTGAGCCATACATCAGCATATGAAGGGCTCTGCTAAGTCTTGGAATATACAAACCTGTTTATCTTGGTTTAGCAAAGACTTAAACCAAGCTGAACTAATGTTCCACTGAATCCGCTTTGGGAACAGCTGGGTTCTGTGTCCCCCACCCCTCCACTTACTGGGACTCTTTTCTGTATTTGTCAAAAATATCTTTCACCAAGAACCAGGAGGGGTGGGTGTTCCACCCCTGTGCTGTGCCCTGAGGGAGGTGCTCGCACTTGACTTCTTTGCGCCTCTCAAATCAGTTTCATAGGAAGACACATTTTGTCTGAGCACAGGATATGTTAGGGGCCAGCCCAATTTCCTCTCTTCCTTTAGCCAATCACAAGTCAATCAAGTACATTATTTCTGGCAAGAACTACACTGACTCACTTGGGTCTAAAAATAACGCTCAACCACATGTGGTACCTCTAGACCCTTCTCCAGAATCTAACATCAATAAGGTGTTACTCAGCTGTAGTCACTTCCCACTAATACACACTCATCTTGCAGGAAAAGAGGCCATACAAAATAACCAACATCCCCACTTCCTTTCTTTTTTTTGAGCACTATAGAAATTTTGCCAGCATTTAATGTTCCATCACAATATTTGGCAAATGCACACTGGCATTCATACACTTTAAATCTGAACAGATTTGGGGAGGAACCAGTCCAAAATAATCATTCCAGCCTTTGAGAAAGAAAAATCTATGCTGTGAAGAATGTTTCTGAGATAGCATTTTAGCTATAAATCAGATTTACTCCCCAAGAGCAATCAAACTACATGTAAAAGAATTTGTGTTTTAAACAAACTAATCTTAACTCATATGTAACTCTCGGAATATTTGTCTGGGAATATGGACTCCACCGCTTAGACATAAATTAACAAAGGTTTCTTTTATGAGTATTGCAATGATGGATATGCATGCCCGGGAGAGCATATGTTTGGGTCTGAGCACAGGAGTCCCTATGTGTAGAAATATCTTAAATGTATAAAATATGAGCTAACAGAAAGAAAAGTGGGAAACATGACCAGGCTTGGCAGGTCTCATATCTCAGGGGAACACATCTGAGTGCAGAGACTCAATCCGAGCCCAGACTCCATCCCAGCCCCGTGTCTGGGGTTCAGATTCATGATGTGTGAGGGGATGAGACCAAGTCTTCTGAGAATGGCTGAGACCCACCACCCTCCCCCAGGAGATTTCTGCAGGCCTCCAAGTGATACAAGATGACATGCGAGACGCGCAACATCCAGCCAGTCAGGAATCAAGCTGACAGAATAGGTGTGAATGTTCCTCCCTGATCAACTCCCAGTGCGACTTTCCTTCCCTCTGGATGAATTCAGAAGTGGAGTATCTGAGAAAACTGATCGCTTTTCAGGAGTTCAGTTTAAATTCAGCCCATGGCCTGGTACCAAACAAGTACAATAATCACTTCTTTCTGCTCAGGAAGGGAGTTGGTGGGGTCAAGGGGCGCCATCTGTCCACAGTCTGCAAATCTACCCTCGTCAACTTCTCGCCCCCCAGTTCTAACACACGGAAAGGCTTTATATATACATGCTGTTTTGTTTTGGAGAGTTTTTCTATTATGATAACTAAATACTTAGAAATCAGTTACATGTTTTTAAAGTTCAGAAAGAGAATTTAGATTAAGGAAACTAAAAAACTTGACACCTCTCTCTGTTGGAAGATAACATGAATATGGGTGGGGGGGCTATAGCTCAGTGGTATAGCACACGCTTAGTGTGCATGAAGCCCTGGGTTCAATCCCCAGTCCCTCCATCTAAACAAACAAACAAACAAACCTAATTACCCTCCCCCAAAACAAAAAAAAAACAAAAAAATGAATATGGGCAACTTCATCAAAGTTTTAGTCAAAAAAATAAATTTGTTAAGCTAAATGTTATTTCTGAATAGCTTAATCAGAAATATGATTTCAACCCTCCAAAAAAAACCCTATAATGTGAAAATACTTAAGAGAGTTGCCCTCTTTCAAAAGCAGCTCTGTGAAAACATACGTCTGTATGAGCTACCCTGGAACTGGTGAATTTCAGTGATCTGTACATCCCTGCCTTCTTGTCAGCCATTCTTCAGTCACCAAATGCCCCTGACCTAAGGTCCACAGTCCCCTTTCTTCGGTCCTCTCACTCTTCTTGCAGCCCTGACCACCTTTACACTGTCCTCCAACCTGCCAATTCTCAGTCCCCCACAGGGCAAGGACCACCTTGTGGACCACTATACAGCCCCGACATCCTGGCTCACCTAGAGTGTGCAGGTGTTCAAAAGACACTGAATGCATCCACTTCAATCTCAAAATAAGTATGGGTATTCCTTTCTCATTCCTTAAAATATTTTCATCTAAAAGGAATCTGAAAGCCATTTAAGAATAGTGAATATTTTCCTTTATTCAAAACTTCCTATAAAGTTAATTCATATAAATACTATCAAACTGACCAGATCTCTGCATTTGCTAGTGTTAAAGACAACACAACAGGCCCAAAATGGAGTCACTTATGCTAAGCCCCACATCACCAAACTTAATTACATCCCAAAAATGAACTCTTAAACCAGCCAATCAGGAATCGTGTGCTCAGCACAAGCGAGGTAATCACGGACCACTGCCACCCCCTAAAAGAAAGTAACTTTGCAATAACCAATCCATTTTGTTCTTTTTTTTTTTCTGCCTGATGTAACTTCCTTGGTTCTGCTCCCTTATGCCTATCAAAGTCTTTCATTTTGTACAACTCCTAGGAACACCTTTCCGTCTGTTAGATTGAATGATGTTCAATTCATGAATCATTGAGAATTAATGAATCATGAATCAATAAGATCTTTAAAATTTACTCAGTTGAATTTATTTTAACAGTTCTCGAAAGATTTCCAACCTACTATCTCCTCTTAAAAGGTTGGGGAGTGGGGGGTGGAAATCATCCTGTGGTTTTTTTTACGGTTCAAAAAACCCTACAATGGGTCGACAGTTTGCATTCTATTAAGTAATATCATGAACTTAAAGTTTCCTTCATTTCACAAGGACTTATAAAGCACATAATATAAACATTTCTTTGTTCACCTTCTTAAAATGAACTAAACCTGTGTATCTTGTGTTTACAAAGAATAAAACATTTAAGGCACTGTGTTACTCAGCAAATGACTGACTCACTGTTCCCCTAATGTGTACTAAGCACCTGCTCTGTACCTGACCCAGGCTGGGCGCTGGAGACACAGCCCTACCGCATCGGGCCTGCAGTCTGAGAGGGACCTACAGATCCTGACAGACTCTACATTCCAGATATTCGAACAAAAGAATTATGGTTTTCATTTTCAAAAGCATATCACATTCTAACAGTAATATCACTTTATATATAATTTTATTTCTAAACTTGAAGCAAGACCACAAACAGTTAACATTAGCTTTTATATCATCTCTTTGAAGAAACAATTAACAAAATTTGAGGTGCAATCTACAACAAAACAATCAACGGTTCTATTTAAGTAGGAGGAGAGTCACAAATATTTAGATTGGCTTTCTCTGAGCCTAGGATGTCTTGACTTTGGCCAAAAATCTGAAATAACCGAAAATGAGCTGTCACATTAAAAAATGTCCTTATCTTCAGATACAAGTATGAGACTAATTTTCAAAATTTCCAATTGAATCCTGCTGGGGTGCATTAAAGAAAATGCTTTCTAGAATCTGATTTTAGGGTTTGGGCAGCAAAATTATACAAATCTTTTCATTTACATTTTTTGAAGGTAAGAAATGTTTCCTGTTTGAAGATCTATTATTAGTCAACCCCATACACTTTCCGTTTGAAAACCAAAGTGTCTCCACGGGTCACCTATTTTAATCCCTTCTCAGCCTGGTTCTTCAATATCATTATGAAACTATTCTGGCCCTACACTGAGAATTTTTACCTGTTTTCTCGCTTTCTTTATCCTTTAAAAAAAAAATCAGGCATGCCACGCTGATGTCACTAGCCTAGATTACTTCAACAGTACCTTCAGGATCATAAGACCAGGCTTTAGGAGTTATAGCATTCCTGAAGAGCAATGAAAAAGAAGCACCAAGGACATTTTTTAAAATACCTCTTTATTAATGCCAAATACATAACATTTAATATAAATTAAAACGTGCCCTAACACACTCAGGAGGAAGATGCATAAAACGGCCATCTGGGAACATCCGTCGGGAAAAAAAAAAAAACCTGGTCACAAACTACTCATCTCAAAGGGCTAAAGCAGAGAAAATGAAATATTCCTTTTTCCGTATAAAGACTGTGTGCAGTTTCAAAATCAGAATGCCTGCCAGAGGCCACTTTCTCACCCTCTACCAGCCAGTGTTGCCAAGATCCTTAACATTCCCTGAGCATTCCAGCAGCGCGTGTACCGAATGCGCACACACAGGTAGAAATGGGGAGGCAGAGCCCCCAGCACCCAGTACACTTACTGGGTCCTCTGGAAATTAGGAAACAAATGATAAACGACTTCTACTCAATTTTCTCTGAGTCCCTGCCTTCTGCACCTTATCCTTCTACTCCCGTTTGCAAGGAAGGTCGACCTCCTCCCTGAGGCCTCTCAGTTATTCCCTGCGGTCTCCGGTGCTGCGAAGTGGGGGTGACAGCGACTCTGCGCCCCTACCTCCACCCGCCGCAGCCCCTCGGGCCTGTGCTTCCCCCACCCACCCACCCACGGGTGTTCTCGGGGCTGGGGAGGGCGGACGGCAGAGACTAGGAGGCGGCAATCTCCATCCCCAACCCTCCCTCCACGACCCACCTTCCAGCCCAGGCGCCCCGGCGCAGAAGGCGCCACGGGCCCCCTCTCCGTCCTCCCCCACCGCCAGCCCACCCCGCGCGGCGCCCTTACCCGGCTCGTGGACGCCGGGGTTGTCGGACAGCTCGAGCA